TTTTTTTTTTTTTTGTTTTTACGAGAGAGAAGAAAATAAAGGAAATAAATTGTTTGGAAATCGCATGGGAGCTAACGATACAGGTGTAACTGCAATGATGACTGTTTCGTTAATCGTAGGTGGAAAAGCTTCCCTTCTAGGAGGCTGATTTCAATGTAATGGATCCCCTCCTTTTACACAGGAACTCGAGTATAGGTGGTCACTGCGGAGTGGTCAAGTTCAAATCTCGAGTTCAGTCGGCCATCAGCTACGATTGACGTACAATCATTGCATACATGGCTTTTCTCAATTACCACAATCAGGAATTAATATCCGTCGACACCGAACAACGATGAACGTCAAGAATCGTCCGGTCGAATTCCACAGACTTTTAAGTTTAAAAAAATCAGATTGTTCTGTGACATAAGCGTGTTCAAAATTAATTGCAAAAAAATTTGCTTCTAAAAAAAAAACACTTCTTTTACGAATTTATCAATCTTTTCTAAAAATTGTAAAATTCTTTTTTTTTCCTTTGTATTATCAATCTGGAACAAAATGCAGAATACGACATCATTATGGACAGGTAAGGATTATATATCGAAATAAAAAATTAAATCATAAATATATATATATATATATCTCAATTCTATGCACGTTGATAACAATATGCACTCTTCATGAATTCTAGTAATCCCATTTTTTTACAGTGTATATATCATATCTGATTTGGTTATAAATTCCTCAAATTGTTTCCCAAACGTTGTTCATCCAAAAATTAATGCAAACACACGATACATGTTATTGCCTATTTAGGACGTACAAGTCATTAGCCTTGGGCCGACACTGACCCAATTTCGTCATAAATGTGAGTCCGACTGCTACTCGAAAAGTTATAGACCTTCCTTCGATCGTGTCATCTTCGACTTGCGAAATAAAAATTATTCAGTTATTCCTTCTTCGTTTCGATAAAATCAGAAAAATCAAAAAAGAAAAAAAATTATCATTATAAAAAAAATATCCTCCTTTCTCTAGCAATAATATGCATCGGGAACAACATTTAGATTCTTTATCTGTTTATCGAACACGACGTGTCCTAACATCTAACGTTAAATCGATGGAAAACAAACTAAAAAATATATCGTTTCGTTCTTACACCGATGCTTTTCCAGAACCTTGTAGAGTTCTATTTACGTGTTCTACGTGTCTCGTTTCCTCCGACGGAGGAAAAAAAAAATATAATACCCGAGGATCCTGTATCGTAATCTTATCTTCCTTCGGACGTGTGCCGTCTGTACGCAATTAGCGTGCACTCCCG